TCAGTGACCAGTTTCATCGATCGTTTGATACTTGGATGCAATAGGTTATGCAGTATCCTGGAAATCCTCTTCCTTAAGGACAATAAAAATACAGGTCTAGGAAGGCCTAGGAAGACGTATCAAGTACCTCCCGAACGCCTTTCTACATCGATGTAGCCGGTTTTCACAGAGACCATGTCTTGTTAGCCTATATCCATTAGAGCGGACGTCAAGAATGCATGCCCCCTTAAGGAATTTATGTAACTTTAAATCAGCTGCTAATAAGTAGTGTATTGGGAAAAGGAACAAGTCATCTATTAAAAGGTCCAAATATGGTATACAAAATGTGATACTAGCAATAAAAGGCAATAAAAATGTAAAAATTTATGAAAGGATAAAACAAACAAAAACATTGTGAGAAAATAAAGATTAACAGGAATGACTCTGTTTATAGTGTGCCTGGAAAGCTAAAATGTCATCGGGAAAGATCTCTTATGAAAAATTGAACCATGATCTGTATTGGACCTTATGAAAATAGTCCCAAACCATTTCACCTACGGAACCCCGGATTTGGAAGTAGTCCTCAGTCCTGCTGGATGATCAACACATACTGAACACTCTCTCTGCTCCAAAACATTGTGCATGTTGGAGCGGCCCGTTATCGTGTCAAAGTCACAAAATAGAACAAAAACGACCAAATACCAACTTTTTATAAGTAGCCAAGGAAGCTTAGTTATGATTTATTATGATGGAAAAAATAAAATATTTTTAAAAACTTCGCAGGTGAACGTGGCTTTGAGTGATAAAAAGGGGGAGAGGCATGCATCCCTAACGTCCGCCTTATTAGTGGAAATTGGTAACCTGAGACGGGGCTTGGAGTGGCAAACCACATAAGGCCCTGAAAGGTTAGTCGTGGTATTGAACCGGACGACAGTAGAGTTGCCTACCACCAAAGTCCGGTGGCGGTGGCGGGGCTTGAACCTCAGACCACAGGGTACAAAGCACGCCGGTGATAGCGACTATACCACCGCACCACATATGCCTGTGATGTAT